TTTCTGTACTGAGTTAAGCTTTAACCCTTTCCTATACCAACTGTATGTGTGTGTGTGTGTGTGTGTGTGTGTGTGTATGTTAGACCAGTTTATGTGTGTATGTAGGATGTTAGACCAGTTTATGTGTTTATGTAGTATGTTAGACTAGTTTAAGTGTTTATGTAGTTAATAAAACTTTACTTGTATCACACTTGACGTGTTAATTGTTTGCTCATAACCGGAGTCACTAATCATGCAGATTTACGCTACAAGCTTTGTAGAATTGTACAGTAAGAAAGTTATTTCCCTTAACCAGGAAATTAACGTTCTTAGAATTGACAAGACAGTTGACCCTGAGAGGTCAGCTAAATATCTACAGCGGATCTAAAATATGAATAGTTAATTATAACTAGTTATGGTTAGTTATTCATATTTCCTGTCATGAGCTGATTCGCTACATACCTATGGAATTAAGATTGGATGAACCAGCAGTTGGTTTCAAGTGATTGAGGTAAATATTTCACTTCATCCAGCTCTCTTTTTGTTCTCTGTGTTCGGAAGTTCGCCTTTACTCTCTGACGGAGTGAGAAACTGCTCCAAACAATTCAGCCTGCATCATGGCGACAATTAATCAATATAAATTCTCTGTTAATCCACGTTATTTAATTCTTCCCTTAGTAATTTACTTAGTCTGTTCGCATGTGTCTTCATGTTTGCCGGCGGCAGAACAAATGCTCATAGGAAAGTTTGACTTCAGAACAGTGGGATTACTGAGCATGTTGTGTCAATAATCATTTATGTATTTATTAATTAGAGCTGAACATTGTAGTCACGGCTTAACACTGGTCATTTGGTTGTCGTGTTCATCTGCTGTGATTAGGGGTCACTTTTCATTTCACTTTTCAGCATGTCACCGACCACACCGGTCATTACAGTAATGATATGAATGATTACTTGGTAATATGATCTGGGCTTTGGTATGTTGCGCTGATGATAAAAGAGAGCCAATTCCAGCACTCACCTCTTTCTCACCACAGATATTACTGATGATGGAGTTGGATGCCGGGCTGGCAGAGGGGCCCAGGACCGCCACAACCCCCTTGGACATGATCTGGCACACTGTCAATAGTTAAGGGAAAGACCAACTGTCATTTATTACAGACAGAGAGCAGAAGGAAAGCAAGCTGTAACCCTGCCAAGAGTGCTGCTTGTCTTATTTTCACTCAAGGATCAGTGCTGGGTAGATTACTTACTAAATGTAATCCGTAACTGATTCCAAATTACATTACAATTACATATAATTATAACTCGTTTAATCGCATTGATCAACCTTGTACCATATTGATATAAAAATACAAATAGAAAGAAATATATTCCATTCGTTGTTATTAACGACATGAAGTGCATTAAACATTAGGTCAAGGTTTCCCAAACTGGGGTTCATAAACAAATTGCAGGGGGTTTGCAAGTTTAATGAAACGCTAATAATTAATTAAATCATAAAAATGTCAAATTAAAATTCATTATTTTAAGCTAACAACAATCAAAATTAAAGACTTACTAAAAAAGATTAAATATTTAGTTTGTTTACCTGCATGCCATGTGACCATTAACCAATGTCAAAGAACTTTGAACAAGCAAATGTGTTACTTAATTATTCATTTATTATCTTAAAATCTCAGGAATTTCTTCAGGAAAATATATTAGCTGAAAGAGACTCAGCTGACAAAAAAGTTTGGGAATTCCTGCACTACATGTAAATAAGAAATAATGCGAATTTGTTTAATGTGTAATGTTTAGGAAAATTTAAAAGATGGAAAAAGAAGAATTAGAGAGAATCAATAAATTGTGATTAATAATTGTGTGAATAATATGCAATCATGTAATCAATAAAAAGTAACTGTAGTCTGATTACAAGTATTTAAAAATGTAATATAATCTAATTTCAAGTACTTAATTTTTGGAATCTGATTACGTAATCCATTTTACATGTAATCAGTTACTGTCAAGGATACTGTATCTGCCATGGAAGTCTATAATACCCAGACAAAGCAAAAAGCATTAACAATTAGTAGTTAGTAGTAGTAATAATAATAATAATAATAATAATAAAAATAAAAATAAGTATTATTATTATTATTATTATAACAACAACAACAGAATAATTATTATAACAGCAACAGAATAAAAATAAATCATTAATTAATAACTAACATGAACAATTATTAATAATAAAATAATCACCATCGAAATGTAAGCAATTGTTATTATTATTTTTATCATTATTATTAAAAATAACTAATAAAAGAAATAATCACAATAAATAATAATCATAATAATCATCACCATAATATTGACAATTTTAGTAGTAAGTTAATAAATTGGCGACTCATCTACTATAATACAATGCTGTATTTAAAATATTTACATGTTGCTTGCAAACAGATGTATTCCATTAGAACAAATGCCTACTTTGTAACTTTCAATAGAGAAATATGACTTTTGGGTCCAGATGGTGCAGTTACTGAATCTACCATCAGAGGCTAATGGTCCATGCTTACCAGCCAAAACCTGATCTCTTGGTGTCCACTCAATCTGTTCTAAAATTACTAGCAAAACCCAAATAATTCCATTTTATTCAAGAACAGGTTTTAAAGAGCTCACTATAATCACAATCTAGCCTATCAGAAGCTTAGCGCTGTTATTAATCTGCTCTTTTTCAGTCTCTCACACAAAATGACATTTTATTATTAACTGACCTTTGAGTGAAGTGTGTCCTGAAATTATATTTGTGATTAGGAGCAGGAGGAGTGAGAGGTAGATTTGTTTCTCCCTCTCTAGCACACAAGCGGGGCATCGGTCTGAAGTGTCATTTCTAATCATTTCTAATCTGGGGGGCAGTCGAGGCCTAATGGTTAGAGAGTCGGAGGTCGCGGGTTCGAGTCTCAATATTTTGTATAATGGGTATGACATATGTATTACAACGAGAAGGTGATTTATGAGAACATTTTGAGTGTCCCTGTAATTTAAAAGGCTTATAAATAATTCAGAATGAGTTTTTTTGAAAATCTAAAAATGCACAAAGTTTCCTGTAAGGGGTAGGTTTAGGGGTAGGGTTGGTGTAGGGCAATAGAAAATACGGTTTGAACAGTATAAAAACCATTACGCCTATGGAGAGTCCTCATAAACCATAAAAACCAACATGTGTGTGTGTGTGTGTTTGTTCACTACTGTGTGTGTGCACTTTTCGCATTGCTTAATAGCTAATTACCCTCCTCCATCCCCAACTCCTCCTCTGTCAGGCAGGATTCAGCCTTCTGATTCTCCTTTGAATAAGACTAATTCTAAAATGTGTACATAACATTATTAAACTTTAACGATATCTGCAATACATTTATGTTGGTTCTGTTCTGTTTACCCTGGGGGTTATCGCTGTTCTCCCTGCTCTCATACATGCTAGGCTGCATGGATGCGCAGGGAGTTCTTGCCCAGAACAGAACCATACCGCCAATCCAAACTGTATGCTAATTGTCAATCATCTTTGACGATAGTAGTCCTGACAGAAATGATGTGATTACAAAGCACCAATAGATGCAGAGTTTTTTTATTATTATAAATTTTTTTTAACTCATAATCTCATAGTGAAAAATGCAAATGCAGACACCTGTGGAAGCCTCTGTTACTTATGTTCCTATAATACATTGCAAGCACAACTCTGCGCTGCCCTGAAGGGTGATGAGCTGCATTTTTAGGATCACTATACACACTGCTACAGTGAATACACAAGCGTTCATTTCTCAAGTCAACTGCTCTCAGTTGGAAATCAAGTGTAGCCTCATGGATTCATGTCAGCCTTGCTGTGCATAGTTATTCTTCTAAACAGGGCTTTCAACTTGTTAAAGTAATTAATCACAATTAATCTCATGATTTATTGGCATCAACATTATTACTACAGTTAATGACTCTTGATATACACTCTTAGAAATAAAGCTTCCAAAAGGTTTTTTTTTTGCAGTAATGCAAGAAAATAACCATTTTGGGTGTTCAAAGAACCTTTTACTGAACAGTTCTTAAAAGAATCATTTTCTCTTAGTATGAAGAGCATTTTAATAATAATTTAAAACATTTTTCTACTATAAAGAACATTTTGTGCATTAGAAAGGTTGTTAACGGTTCTCCATGAAACTACAAATGGCAATAAAGAATCTTCATTTTTCAGAGTGTAGTGTATATTTTCTTCTCAACATGTATTGCTTCCAGTCTATCACTCAGTTTCAGTGACAATTACATTCCACCAACTCCAACTAACTTTTGTTAAAAGTCCAATTTGGATTTGATTTATACAGAGGGTGGTGTCAAATGTATGAGGCTTTATTACAAATTACTATTTATCATCAGCATAATTTTTAGTGATAAGTTGAATTGAAAATAATCTTCAGCAGCAAAAACTCCACAAGTCTGTGTAAAATCTGATTGTGTTGAACAGAATGAACAGAATTAAGCATTATGTAAATTTATACATACATGTTTTAACAATGTAGAATTTCACAACTATAAATGTTAAATATATCTCAAAAGTTCCATCTTTATCTCAGCCTGTTTTATAACACAGTAATCCAAGAACTGTTCATCTGTGCTGTTGTCTTGCGCGCACGGATCACAAGGCATGTAGTTATTAACCCTAGCATGTACTATGAGTCACGAGGGTCAGGTGATTCAAAGTTATGACTGACTGGAGTCAAATCTTTTGACATGACCCTCCTGTAAGGCTGATCCAGAGAAGGACAATGAATCCATGTGGATTGAGTGAGCACAATGTATCGTGGCTGGTTTCAGAACATCTCTGTTCACTTCAGATCACAATCATTAGTATGCAGACCACATGCAAACACACACAATGTGGGATGTGGTAAGATGCAGGCTTCAGCGATTTCAGACGGGTGTATGGTAGGGCAGGTAGAGGTGGTGTGACATTTCTCCCTTCCTAATAGTGTCACTACGCGCGTTTCCATTACCCTTCAAATTGCGCAAATTGAAATTGCGAATTGAAAATACGCCTAATGGAAACGCGTCAATTTTGCAAAAAACGGCCATTTGTCGCAAAAAAATTTTTTCCGCTTGCATGAGGTGGTTTTTCAGGCAATGCGAAAAAGGATTAATTCGCAAAACTGCAATGGAAACGGCTTTTTCGCATTTACAGGTCACATGGCGTATGTAAAAAGTCATATGATCATTCTTCAATGTACTATAACCTCTAAGAAGTACTTCATAAGTGGCCGTGCTCCAGTATAAGGGGCTTTCCCTACTATTAATACTTAGACAATTTACATTGCACACGTCTGCGGTGCAGTGTGGCTCTGATACGGTCACTGAAGCTGATTACGGCCACTCAATGCTTGTGTTTATGTTTTTATACAGTCTATGGTTTATTCCAGCTGCGCCACGCAAGTTTCTGAAGCGGCTCTCTTTGCTGCTTCTGTAAAGATACACGCATAAGCCTCCTTTGAATAAATATAGCCAAAATCCGTCAAAATCCCACCAAAATCCGTTGCAATGACTTATCAAACTTAAGGCAAAAGGTTAAGTTTTAGCCGCATAACATTGGTTAATGGAAACGCCGTCATTTCGCAATACTTTTTTATCGACATTCAGAAAATATCGCCAAAGTTTTGCGCAAATCTGTAATGGAAACGCGCCTACAGATCCATTTCTAATTCAATTCCTGCATACTGCAAAGCTATTGCAATACTGAATTAGACTGAACAGGGTTGTGCGACTAACCGTGGAGTGAAAGAAAGCAGTTTATATCTATCAGGAGGGTTATTTTAATGGCGCTGCCTCATAAGCCCAGAGAAACCAGGAGAGGCTTTTCATCCTTAACCGCCATGTGTCTCAACAGCCTTGATTGTTTAAATTACAGCTCGTCTTCTCCTGATTTTAGTGCCGCCTACTTTCATTGACAACAATGAACCTCAGTCATGTTTAATATCCCTCTTTGAGTGAGCAATTCTATTTTGTTCTCCCCAACGCTATTTGATTCAGGATTTGTAAGGGAAGCATTATTAAATCTAGGGCCTCAGAGTAAGAAAGGCACACAAAGATTGACTGGCAGCTGTTAAAGTAAAAGTCGCACTATTCGTTTGAAACCCACTGACTGCCGGTTTCAATTTTAAGGCAGAGTGAAGTTCAAAAGTCTGAGTCCACACTGAAAATCTGAGATTCAAACCTAGAAATAAACAGAATTTATGATACTGCAATTGCAAAATGTAAAACAATGTTATGATGTGAAGTTATGATGTGAAATTCATGCTAACGTTTCCCCTTTAAATTATGCTCATAATTAAAATAAATAAATAAATTATTTTGCTAAATCAAGAACCAAAGTGTTATGTTATGATGTTAACAAACTAAATAAATTAATAAATAAATAATGATTTTGTCAAATTTAAAACATGTTACAACATACAAATACAAACATAACAAATGTTACAACATAAAATTAATAAAGAATATTTCAGATGCTGCACTATTTCTAGGTCACTAATCAAACAAATAAATTTTAAAACAAAATGTTACAACATAAAATTAATAAAGAATATTTCAGATTCTGCACTATTTCTTGGCCTATCAAATAAGTAAATTTGTAAAATAAACAAGTTAATAAATAAATCTCTAAAATTCAGATTGATATAGATCCAAATGAACATCGATTCTTACTGGAGTTTGTGTTAATAAAAAAAATGTCTGTAATGTAATTTGTATTGTATGGCATATCAGCTGACCTTTAAGAGTGACTTTGCTGCAACCAACGAAACAAATATTGTTCCAATAAATCCCTGCATACCTTCTGACTATAAAGACATCAGAATAGCCGAATAGACAGCACACTTTATTCTGTGATGAGTGAAAACCTGTTAATTTAATTGGAATCACATAATGGTCCCTTTCTTTATCACAGAATATTTCACCTGCTACCAGCCAAGAACATATGGAGAGATGAAACTGACAGACACTCTAATTATGCATGTATATAAAGTCTATTTATATGTGTGTCACTAAACTTCATTGCAAAACTTGGAAAATATTGAAAACAAGAAAAATTATATTGTTATATAATTATAACATTTTAAAAAATTTAAATAAAAAAATGATAAGATGTACAAAAAAAAAAGAAAGAAAAGAAAAGAAAAATACAGCAGGGATGTGCTCACACTTAAACACACAACAAAGTTTTGCTGTTTAAATAAGTACTTGTGCATGTAAGTGCATGTTTTACAGAAGGAATGCCCTTGGGAGGACACAATTATCTCATAATTTGCCTCTACCTGTGAATCATTATAATGCCTACAACCGCTGAATAAAACCTCGACGGTTAAGGTACCATTATTCAGGTTGTGAAGCTAAAGGACAGCTGTAAAAATTAAAACTAAAGAGCTCTGCAAAAAATTTCAAACTAAACTAAAACAAATATATGGAGTAGGAAGAGGAAGCATCATAGTTCCTAGCATACTTACAGTATATTTTGCACCTTAATCTAATTGGTAATCTAGATAGTTCTCCCAAAAATAAAATTGTCATCATCTTCTCACCCTCATGCTGTTTCAAATCTGTTTGACTTTCTTTTATTAATGAAGCACAAAAGAAGATATTCTGAATAAGGTTGGGGTCCAAACAACTTTGGATTCCATTGACTCCTATTGTACGGACAAAAAGCAATTTTCTTTTTCAAAATGAAGAAGAATTTTCAGAGAATTAATAATGACACCATTTCCATTTTTGGGGGAATTATCCCTTTCTTAAACCTAAGTAAACGTGTGGCCAAGTACCTGGGTACTTGGAATTCTAGTACTATGGAATTCTATGGAATTCTAGTATTAATAATAATACTATGGAATTCTAGTATTCCATACTAGAATTTGTGCTCTGCATTTAACCCATCCAAGTACACACACACAGCAGTGAGTAGTGAAAGTCGTGGTTTTGAGGGTGCAAGAGAGCGCTGGTCATTCACTCCTCCCACCTACAATCCCTGCCGGTACCAAGACTCAAACCCGCAGCCTTCGGGTTACAAGTCCGACTCTCTAACCAGTAGGCCACAACTGCCTAAACATAATGCTTCTTTCCTACTGTAAACATAATCCTAGTTTATCTGGTTCCATGTTTTCCACCATTCATACTTTATCCTGGGTAATTAATTAATTACAGGTCACTAGGCGGTGATATTTCAAACTGTACACTTGTAAAACCTGGGTTGATATTCTTATTAGCATATTTAGAGATTAAACGCATTGATTGGACAAACACATCATGCAACTTGTTTTATAACTGCTTGTTCATCTGTACAAATGTGAGGGTGATTAATTTTAAATTGATTTGTCAAAAGTACTATTTAATATATTATTAAATTGTACTAGAAATATTAAATTAATAAATAAATTTAAATAAATAAATTTAATATATGCATAAAAAGTATTAAAATATAATAAAATTATTAAAATACGACACATTTCTTAATGTTTAAAATCATAATTAATTAATTAATAGCACTAATTGGACAAATACAGCATGCAAATTGTTTTATAACTACTTGTCCATCTGTGGAAATGTGAGGGTGCATTATTGCATCAAAACTGCTATATAGTGCTTAATTGAATATATAATTGAATGTAAAATAAATATTTTGCATATAAAAATATTATTAAAACAAACATTTATAAAAAAGTTACTACATAAAATATAAAAAAACATTATACATTTCTTTAGGTATACTGTATAAAAATTATACTGTATGTAAAATTTACATACTCCTCAGAAACGATAAAATATTAAAATATAAAAATATATATATAAATACTCACTAGTTTCCCCTGTCTCGTATTCACTGTCTCGGAGCAGCTCAAAAATGTCCACCTCCAGTTTGCCTGTGGTGGAGCGGTTGCTGGAACGGTTGATGCTGTCTTTCGCCAGAGTGATGGCCAATCGCTCCCCGCGGCTACACTCCATCGGGTCATCAAGAATGGCAGCTGAGACACAGTTCAAGGAGAAAGAGAGAGACCCAGAAAGTGAGATGAGATATTTTGACGAACACAACTGTGACAAAAGAGATTAAGAAGTCCTCAAGATACTACAGAAATCACAATGAAGAATCACGGAAATGTAGGCACAAGTGTTTCTGGGTCACCTTTGTGTGCATATTGAAGTGCATTTGATTACAGTAGACAAGATTAATGCTGTTCTTTGACAGTTTTCTTACTAGACTGACACAAGTGCTCCATGTAGCTGTTTTGCTATGAATGACTCAGTCACAATGTTGCGCAGTAAATAAACAATAACCTTGCACTATTATAGTCATTGGCTCCTTAGTGCTATTAGTGTACATACTGCCCCAGGTAGTCAGCGCAATCAGGCCAATTGCGGCTGAATCTTGGTTCACTCTGCTGTATTCGGGCAGCGGTTCACCGAAAGTGATGTTATGGATGTTATGGGGTAGTAGGTGAGGATGCCATGACAAGAAATGGTGTAAGGGCCAAACCCTTAATCTTTGTAAAGGTGACATATTTAGTTGACATGCATAAGTACATGTAGACTTAACAAGGACACTGTAAAATATGTATTTTATTTCAGTTGGAAGTAGATGCCATCTTAAGGATTTTAAGGTAACAATGTAATTTTGTGGAAAACGAATTATTCAAAGCTCTGGTTTTATATCAAAACTAGAAGGAGTCTTTAATACACATATTTTAGAAGTTGTAATTCTGTAAGAGTAAGTATAAGTATGTACAGTGGGGCAAAAATGTATTTAGTCAGCCACCAATTGTGCAAGTTCTCCCACTTAAAAAGATGAGAGAGGCCTGTAATGTTCATCATAGGTATACCTCAACTATGAGAGACAAAATGAGAAAAAAAATCCAGAAAATCACATTGTAGGATTTTTAAAGAATTAATTGGTAAATTCCTCGGTAAAATAAGTATTTGGTCACCTACAAACAAGCAAGATTTCTGGCTCTCACAGACCTGTAACTGCTTCTTTAAGAGGCTCCTCTGTCCTCCACTCGTTACCTGTATTAATGGCATCTGTTTGAACTCATTATCAGTATAAAAGACACCTGTCCACAACCTCAAACAGTCACACTCCAAATGTGGCCCAAGGCCGGCAGTTTTGGCAGCCGGCCTGGGGCCAGTGTATTTGGGCCGATTCTGGGGCGTCATTCATCACATGTTCATGCCGACTCTGGCAACCGCAGCCGGGCCAAGTTATTTCAATCCGGCCTGTCGGATCTGGGCCATTATCGGGCCAAACCGTTTTGGCTACCTGGGG